ATTAAAAGTGAATTATAAATGTTTAAGTAAATCACGCTTTTTTTTTATGAAAGTACAATATTAAAAGTAAACTGTTAAATGGAAATATTGGAATAATATTAAAAAAATTTAAATCTTTGTTGATAATATTTTTAAAATTAAATATAATGTATACCTTATCTTATTTGTATAAAAAAAATATTTATATACCCAAAAATAATGCAAATAATTTAATTTAAAATATATATTTAATTTAATTTAATTATGCTAAATAATATTTTCTATTTTTAGCGCTAAGCGAAATAAATACTTAAATAAGAGTCAGAACCTACTTTTTAAAGACAAAAGAAATATTACTAATATATTATATTTATTTTTGTGAGAACTTAATATACATTTAAAACTTGACTATACTTTATATATTCTTTCATTTGTTGAATGACTTGTGGTATAGATAATTTCTTTTATAAATTATATCCTAACAATGTATTTTAGAACGTGATGTTTAAGTTGTATATGAAAATTGATTACGGAATTTATAATACTTGATCATTTAAGTATAACTATTTCTTCTGTTTAACATATATAACTGTAAATTTTCTACAACAACTTTATTTTTTTAATATTTTTTACATTAAACATATAAAAATAGAATTTAAAATATATGTAATTTTTATTACTTTATCATTTTTAATTTAATATGTAAAAATAATTCAAATTATTTTTCAAAATTTTGAGATACGATTGTCACAACCTTCTTAAAATAAGTTAAATTTAACTATTGACTTTGAAATATTAATTTCTTTCTTTGTCTCACTCTCTATTTTCATTTACAAACCTTTAAACTCCTTTCACCACGCCTAAATTAATAAGATAAAAATTATTTCTAGTAGTTTAAACACGCAAACCTTGAATATGAAAAAAAGGAAAAAAGAAAAACAAAAATTTCCAGAATGACTATGATTGAACGCATATTATAAGTAAAGAATTTTATACAATTTTAGTTTATAGGTGTTATCTGAATATATATATATATATATATATATATGGAAAATTTGCCATCTGAAAGATTCTCCATATGAAAAGTCAGCCGTGAATTTTTTCACACGTGCAAGCATTCACATTTTGGGGAGTTCAGATTAGATTTTAAGAACCAATTAATATTATTAGTTGAATTGATGTAGATTTTTAATTATGTTTACCAATTTAAACTAAATCAATTTCATCGAGGATGAGTGAATTCAATTAGGATTAATAGATTTTGATTAAAGAAAGAGATAGAATATGATATTTGACCATATGAAGTCAATGAATGTTGGTTTTCATTTTTTATTTTTTAATGGACATTTTTTATATTTTATTTAATGATCTTTTACTTATAATATGTTTTTATACGTTTAATAGTTTTATATTGTTTAAGAATAAAGCTGTGTAAAGTAATTTAATTTTTTTTCTATATATTTAAGAATAAAACTATAAAAAAGTTTCAACTTTAAAGTGAATAATATTTCAAAAGTAATGATTATCTAAGGATAACATTTTTAAAGTTAAAATATGTAAATCATTAAATTTAATTCAAGTCAAAATTTTCAAATTTTAATTATTTTTGTTCTTCTGTATTGTTTAATTAAGTTATCATTATGCAAAGAAATGTTAAAAATTCAATGTATTTTTATAAATACGAGTTAAAAATTTGGCTATATATATGTATATTTTTTTATACGAATTACTCTACTTAACTTTCACGCGTATGTATTATTATTATACAATTACTTTACGAAATTTAATTTTGAGTAATAAATTTATTTTTCATCAAATTATTAAAAAGAGAAAGAATTAAGCGTAATTAAAAATAAAAAATAGTATTATTTTAAGTTTATATTGCAATTGTAACAATCTAACAAAACATTGTGTTATTTTGCCTTTCGTCTTTGCTGAATAATGGGCTCCGAGCCCAAATGATAAAAGATAATCAACAAAGAAATTCTGATCTCAACAAGGAAACAAAATTAAAAAGAAAAAGAAAAGTACATACATGAAATATTATAAATATTGTTGATATTATATTTAAAATTAAGTATAAACTTTTTTATCTCAATAAAATGTGATGATATTAATAAGATTATTCACTATACATATTATAATTCTTAAAAATAATACCTACAAGTGTTTAAGTTTCATGAAAAGAAGAAAAAAAAATTCTTATTTTTACATTATGCTTATTTATTCAATTTTATTTTTTTATTTTCTCATCAAATAAAATTTTATTTACACATCTTAAAAGGAAAAAAGAAAACTTACTTGTTTGATTTCCTTTGGCTTTTTTTCCATAGTAATGATCTCCTTAGGTTTGACTTTTGGTGATATTAATTCAACCTTTTTCTTGCTTTTCTTCTCTATAAGTTTCAAGATTTTCAAAGGCTCTATTTTCCCTTTTGCTCTAACTTCTCCTTTCTCAATTTCTATTTCCACACTTTGCACCCCTGTTCGATAATCACCATAGAATAAAATTATTATCTCTCATATCATTAATGCAATAATATTTCTAATATAAGTGAGTTTGTCAAAACCTCTTTTAAATTTTTATTTAGTACATATAAAAGATAGTTATTATTTAAATAAATTCATTTTTTTCTTCTATTCTTGGGAAAATTCATTATACTTTAATGCTGATCTATATTTTTCAGACATTAAATGAATTCATTTATTCATTTATTTAATATTTTAAAGTAAAAAGTAGGGAATTGTAGGAGGATTACCCCAGAAGATAATCTTTCAATCTTTTTTAAGGGTCTGATTTATTTATTTTTTAAAATTTTATTTCAGTTTATTTAATTGTAGTTGTAATTTTTGAAGTTAAAGATACATGAATAGTTTTTTTATTGAATATACTATTATTTTTTACATAGTTTATCCGTTCTGGTAGTATAATCTTTTAAAAACAAATCAAATTGTTGAAATTCTTAATTCCAATGAAGTATTACTTATTTATTTTCTAACTTTCCCCAAATCATTAATATTTGCATTTACATCAAATAAAAAATAATTCATTTATTCAGTGAGTTAAGTTATTTCTATAAAAACTCAGTAAGAAAAAATAAGTTATTTTAGTAAGATTATTTTAATAAGTGACACGTGTATTTTTTTGTATAAGAAAATATTAATTGTAATTATTATGATATGAAATGATAAGCATTAACTAAATTAAACACGTGTATTTATCCTGGAGGGAAAACAGTAGTGGAATAGAAAACTTCAGAATTAGAATTTTTTATTGATTTATTTTTATTGTTCATCTGTTTCATTTTTAAAATATAATGATAAATACTGATATTTCTGTTTTAAAATATATTGAAAAAATCAATATAACAACTGTGTATTTTGAAAGCTAAAAGGAAATAGTATCAATAAACTAGAAAAAAAAACTACATGGTATTTTTCATTAAAAAGGATACCATATTTTTTAAATAAAATAAAAAACAAACTTTTGAGACAAATTAAAAAGGAAGAAAGAGTAAAACATTAGTGAAATAAAAAATCATGAAACTAAATTAATTTAAACATAAACAAAATTAGTGTAGAGGTAAAATATGTTTTAGGATATGTTAATTACCTTGGGTGATCATGAGATGTTTCTTGATCTTGTTTCCACATTCCTTACAGTGAAGATTAACTTTGTAAATTGCAGTGATCTCTTCAACCTCTTCTTTCTTCTTTTCTTCTTTTCCTGCTGCCATTTTCTTTTCTGCAAAATGAAGGGTTGCAGAGAATCAAAGAAACCCTAATTAAGAAGAAAAAGTGGATCAAGATCACTTCAATGTTACATATATTAAAATTATTCAAATCTGAAATCACAAGTTTTCTTAACATTTTTTTGCAGGTTTAGTTAATGGTAGCTCACCAATTTCTTGAAACTTGTTACATGGTTTCACCCAATTTTGCAATTGGTAGTTGAGAATATTCAAAGTTTCAGTAGTTGAAATAGTTGTATAAATATTATTAAAAATATACCAATTATACAAATTTTCTTGTTAGCTTAAACAAATTACACTTTATATTTAAAAAAAGAAGCTAATTAGATGTAGACACATTAAAGTATATACACTATCAAATTAAACACTATGGAATAAACATTCAATTGTATATAAAAATATAAGGCAATTGCTTCCTCACCTCATTAATTTTCAAAAATGAACATTTTATCTTTGTAAAAGTGACTTTCAGATTATTAATTCTAACAAATTTTTCTGGAACAAAATTTCCAAAACATAATTTTCGAAACAAAATTTTTTATGTAAAATGTTTTAGACTCGTGAAATATATTCTGGAATACAATTTTTCAAATACTTCCCGAACAAAACTTTTCGGAATGAATCGCAAAAGAAATTTTTCTAACAATTTTTTTACAACTTTTTACGTAAAAGAAAAATGTTCTTTTCACAATTTTTTTTTACAATTTTTTTACAACACTCACGTAATGACTCATTATTTGTCCATTTTAAATTCTTTTTTAAAAATAAATTCAAATAAATAAATAAAATAGTGACACATGATATATTGTGAAAAACTTGTTATGAAAAAGTTGTTATCACATCTAATCGTACATAAAATATGTTTTGGAAAGAGTCCAGAACAAATGAAATATTTTTCGAAAAAAGCATTCCAAAATGAGCTCTTTAAGCATTTTCTCTCTTCTTATCCTCTGCAGTAATGGTCCGGTGGAATAGTGTGGTACAATGGTAAAAGGTATTTAAGCATTTTCCTTGTATTGTGGGGTGCGGCAAAAAATTTGATGGGGTGCAAGATGCAATTGCCAAAATATTATAATCCAAGATATAAACTTAATAAAACATTCCAAAGACTCACCCTATTCATACAACTTCATCACTTGAGTGATGAACTTGTTTTGAGTTACAAATTATGCAGACAATTTAAATATAATTTCATTAAAATGGAACTGAATAAAACCCTTGTTCATGCACTATAAATGAGGTATTTAAATATTGAAGTCATGTCTCAAATATTGCAAGTCTCGATTGTTGATTCAAAAGAACTTATATAACATGCATTAACTCAAGGATTCTACACTTATTACCTATCTAAATTTGGTACCTTTTTCTACCAAGTTCTATGGTCACAAACACAAGCTCACTTCATCAAATCTTCAGAGATTCATTCTAGGCACCACACAATGTGGCATTCATTTGGCAACTGTTCCTCTATTCCTAGCTTCCACGGTAAGTGCTGAATGAGAATGGAGCAAGCAGAAGAGGAACATGAAAATGTTCCCTTTTTTGTGAATCCTTGATTTCAAACACTATAGACACATAAGGAAAGAAACCATTTGGGATGTACTTCCCAGTGTTGAAACTTATCCTGTATATTCCTGGATTCACATCGTCAACTATGCTCAGCAGTTGACCGCTTCGGCCGTCTTGATCCGTCGTCGATGACCCCTGAAACACCCAATTGCCTCAGCCTGTGGCCCCAAATGTCGGCCGAGGCTGAACACCCCTCCACAGCTCCAGAAGCACCTCAATACCAGCGGCCGGAGAGCCCCGAGACACATCCAACACATGAGTGGTAATTGGAGGGCGAGTTCTTGCAGGATGTTGAATTGGTTTACCTGATGAACTCTCTGAAGCAGCAGTCACATGACTACTGATGATGCTAATGCGATCTTCTAGCATTGGAAAATTAGAAACCAAGATTGGTAACTTGTTGTAAACATCATGATGTAAGAGTTGCAGAGTTTTGAAAATTCAGACCACAACATTTTATAAACAATAAAGGAGGAGGGTTTTGTTAAGCACTCAGAAACCAATTTACCATCCACAGATACCACATGCATCACAGTTAGAAATATAAGAAATATCTTAGGAGAAAGTTACTTTGATTTTAACAAATATATATATATATATATATATATATATATATATATATATATATAGTCTTTGTGTTGCATCTCTTTTAGAATGATGACAAATGATTGTTGAACGGGGTGTCAGCCTAGCAGAGAGATGTCATAGTTCAAAATGGTTAATAACAGGCCACAATCGCATGATTCTGACACCAGTTAATAGTTAACATTAAATCACTAGTATCCATGATTTGAATATTGTAGAACTCAACTTTTAATGCACTGAAAGAATGAATGAATGAAAAACTCAAATATTTGATCATTCTACTTCTGCACAAAAAGTCATGACTAGTGATGAATGGCTGATGATATGCTACATTTCAATTAATGAATACATACAGCAATAAGCAAAACCAAATTGAATAGTTGAAGGGTTGTCGGGGAAACACAGTGAACACAGTTATATCTTTCCTATGCAGATTTGAATATCAAAAGGGGTTCTTAAACTGTAACCAAACATAAATCAGGAAAGAATATGGAAGTACCTTCTGCCTTTTTAGCAGTGGAATAATTGCCAATTTTAGAAGAAATGTCTTCTGTACTTGAAAAGAGCTTTGCAAGGCGTAGTTCTGTAATTTTCATTTGCTCTTGAGCAGCAATCTCAAACTCAACAATGGGCCGGTTTGTATATCGTCTCTGCAAAGTGTAAAATGAATTAATTTAAATTTAAATGAAAAGTCTTATATCAACATTTCATAATAATTTGGGTTCCTAACCAATGTAGGAAATTGGAATGATTGAATTTGGCACATAAGAGACAACAAAAGAAGGAATATTCCCCACCCGTTGAATAAGAAGCTCACAAGAACTATCATGCTCAACCTTCTAAAAGTAATTAATCCACAGTGTAACCTTAAACAAATCTATGTTCATAACATAATAGCTCAACAAAAATTCACCCAAATAGACATTAATCAAGAATAGAAGTTAAATAAATAAAAAGTATTGCCAACAATAAACTTTAAATTCAAATTTACATTCAGCTCAGCAAGTATCTCATCAGTGGTTCTGCCAGATGCACAAATGAGAAAAACAAACCCAAACTTTTCCCTGTACCGAGCATTCCATTGAGATAGTTCCTGAAAAATGACATGCAGATAATTAACTTCAATTTATTAACAGTTAACATTGCAGTTGAGGTCCCCCTCTAACCATAAATTTGCAGCCACATCCAAAACCAAGTTCTGTTAATGAATGCCTAATTTCCACCACAATAATAATAAAAGCAATAGTAAACCACGATGCAGATTCCACAATGAAGGATGCTAACCGTGTGAAATATTAGCAAAGAAATTAAAACTCTTCGAAAGAAGGTGCTTTTCAATTCAATATATTAGACATGGTATGTTCAGTATTATGATAGCAGACCGTAGATCGATCAGGTTCCAACCATATATTTCGTAGTACAACAAAAAGCACTAAAATATTAGTAATATTTTGAGTAGCAGCAGCAAGCAAACCTGTAAGCTGGAACCAGTTGCAGTAGATAAAGCAGTTGATTGCTCTCCCTTACTCCAACTGCATAAAACAGTTCCTTATTATTTCTAACTAGCAAATAGGATATACATTTCTTTACCCTTCTCATTGCGTAAATCACAGCTGAAGCCACAGACAAACACCACCCAGATGAAGGGAAATTCACAACATTCACTCAAGGTTCTCACATCAATGTAAAATGGAGAGAAAGCAACCCAGATGGTTAAAAACAGGAACAAAATTGATGGACTGAATAACCGAACTGACAAACTCCATAACTAACTTAAAACTCAACCTTTTTGCATCTAATTCATTTGTTTCGCATCAAAACACAAAACAGAATGCATCCAAACAGGAGCAAAATAGCAGGAATAACTGAACTAAACTGACAACTCCACACGTAACTTAAAATCCCAGATACAGATTTCCCGTAGTCAGGGATTTAGAACATTCACTCTATCACACAATTACAACTTTTCGATGAGCATTGGTCGCCTCATATTTTATCTAAGTAGATCAGACTTGAAATATGCATCTCAGATTGAGTAGTCCAAAATTCATCCAACATTCCAACCTGAAGTCCTGATTGCAGGGAATCCATTACCTAACACATGCACCCACTCAGAGAAAACCACAATCATACCTAACTCGTTAGTTTCACGAGTTGAATTCCTATGGTAAGTATGAATTTCCACAATATCAATCAATCAGAAATCATAGAAGTATGCGATTTTGAAGATAGCATAAAAGTAAACTATTAACCATACATGATGATTTATAACTGAATGATAATGTAAAATCTCTGTCATGTCAGTCCATAGACTATATACGCTCGGCTTCATCCCATACACAAAATAGACCACCCAAGTGATTAAAAAAGAGAGTAAATAGTCTATATCCTAACTATCGTGTATTAGAAATTCTCTAACTTTTACATTAACCACTTCAAAAGTCATGCTAAATTTCTGATCGGAAGGGATCAATAACTGAACGTGAACTGACAAATCCCAAGTGAAGACCCAAAGAACCACCAACCCACAAAGACAAAAACACACCCTTTGCACTAAAAAATCAAATCTTTCACAGCAAAACACAAAAAGTAGAGTGACCCAGATGGAAAAAAGAGATTAATTCAAGTACTGAACTGAGCACTGGCTTCAGAGGCAACAGATGGAGCATGGGTATTCCCGATCTGAGGGTGGGCAGAGAAGGCCTGAAGCCAACCGTTGACATCAACGTTGTTGAACCAAACATCCCTCGCCACAGAAACAGCGTGCTGCAATGAACTGAAAGGAGAAGCCAAAACCATGTCCTTGGCGAATTTGGTGCTTCCACAGCACGATACGAAGTCTTTCTCGTCGAAACTGAACTCCATTCTTCAAACACTAATCACTCTGTTCGCTTGTGTTTTTGACAATTATATTGGAATTGGACTGTTTTTATGATTTGTTTGTGGGAAGAGAAGAGAAGAGAAGAGAAGAGGATGTGACGCTGTGTCAGCACTTTAGTCTTGTTCTTGCGATGCAAACAAAAAGCCACGTAGAAATGTTCTTTTGGCCAGCACAAGGGGAAAGTGGTAGTGACACAAATTCTTTTTCTAATGCGGTGATTTTGAAGTTAAAAATTATCTTTTTTTCTTTTATTTTTCTTAATTTAGTTTCTCACTTTTTAAGTTTAATCCTTATTCTATTGTGGCATGGTTTTTAATATTAAAAATCTTTTGAATTGACATTTTTTTATTAGAGCTGAATGGGAAATTTAGTCTTTATAAGTTTTTGTCGATTTTGAATCTAATCCTTTTAATATTTATTAAATGGTTTAAATGCATTTCAAGCTTAAAATATTTGTTTAATTTTAATTTTGAGTACCCAATAACAATTTCTTTTAAATTAAGTATTTAATAAATTATTAAATTTTGGTTAAATTCTTAAAAAAATATTTATATTTATTTTGTCTTTATTATTATGAAAATGTGTATTTGTATTTTTATTACAATAAAAAATATATTTATTATTTTTATAAATAATTAATTAAAAATAAAAAATACAATTTAATATATATATATATATATATATATATTTATAAAAATAATATTAAAAAATTATATAATTATTATTGTAGATCTTATTTAATAGTAAACAAAAACATTATACACGTGATAATCAACTCCCATAAGAAACAATCATATAACAACTATATTATAATCATCCATAAAAACATGTATTAAGTATAGAGAGTTATATATAAACACTAACAAAAACTAGAGTTTGTTAAAAGAAAAAGATTATACAAGACAAGATTTTATCTTAAACTATGTTACTGTATCACCCTTACCCTACATTGGATCAACTGAGACATCTTCATCTGCTTACACCATTAAGGTGATCATTGCAGACAAAAAGAACAAACAAATAAAAAACATAGAAGAAAATATAAATTAATGTACCAAAAAGAACAATCATACAACATGTATAAAGATATTAACACAAAAACATGCATATCAACAATCATAAGACATATAATTATTCATATTAGACTCGATTATTCGGATACATGTATTGATATCAGGCTCTAGCGAGTTATACACTTGTGGTAACCTTTACTACTTTACAGAGTCATTGCCAATGAGTTTCACTTTACCACATATAAAGTTAACTCATTAACATCTTTGACTAAGGTAAAGCCCCTAGACTAGGACATTTTGCTCTTTCACCATATATCTCACCCTTCTTTACTTGAGATTGGATGATCATTAGAGTGATAGGATAATTCCCAATACGAAATCCATATATCCATATATAAACTACTGAAATCGCCACAAGAAACTTCTCATTGAAATTCCTTCCACAACATTTACCACAACCATATTGTCACTCTATACAATCATCATAATACATCTCCAATATACATATAAACCATGGTGAATCTATCTCAAACAAGTCAAAGCATAAGGAAATTGCAACATATGCACTATAGTGCTTAAAGGTGGCGCTCAACGCTTGACCTTTTGCAAAGGATGATGCTCAACGCCCAACCTTTTGCAAACGATGATGCTCAACAACAGTCTTGGCACTCAACACCAAACCTTTCGCAAAAGGTAACACACAATGATAGTCTTAGAGCTTAGCGTCATTCTTCTTGCAAAACATCATTCTCAGCTTCGTCCATCTACCGCTCAATGATCTAGAAATAAAATTGTTCTAAACCTATAGTAGACAATGGCGTTCAACGGTGCTCTGTTACCGCTCAGCGCCAAAGCATTCACATTTTCCCGTACTCAACAATATAAGATTGGCGCCTACCAGGGTAAAGCTGAAATGCTCTCAAACTTGCACAATGAACTGACACTCAAAGTTAAGTTGCTCCCGTTCAACACTATATTAGATATAAGTAAGTGAAAACTTAGTGATTTATGAAAATAAAACTTATTCAATTGATTAAACTGGTATTCCCTTCTTTGAACTTGGGTCAAAAACATTTTTTAATGTTAAGACACATATTAATTGGCTTAATTGACCAAATTTTCATTTTCCCAATTCAACTCAACTCAACCAATTCAATAAAGCAACATTTAAAACAACCAACATCATCTATTCAACCAATTTCAATTAAACCAAACATGTAAATTAAAGTTTTCAAAACATCTATAACATTAAAACAAGACAATTAGATTCCCTTACTTGAGAGACAACCAAAAAACTTTAGAACCTTATAAAGCTTTTTGGCGTTGAGCGGCGCTAAGCAGCCATGTGTTGCACTGAGCGCTGCAAAGTTAGAGAGCCTTTAGGCCTTAGGGCATTGAGTGCTAAAAAGTCAGAGAGCTCCTGTGCTGTGTGGTGCTGAGCGGTACTTCGTGCGTTGAGCGTTATTTCTTCTTTGCAGGTCTGGAACCTTTCCTCTTTGGGCGAGAGGTGGGGCTTGCTGGGCAAACATGGTTGCATGAAAACTTGCATTAAGTGCCACAGACGTGCATTGAGTGCCCCTTGCTCCTAACCCATTGCATGTTTTTGTGTCTGTTTAAATTAGGTCACTTCGGATTCTATGCATTTGTATTATTATATTAATGATGTTTCATGGGCTGAGATCTAAATGTGAGTAGGTATGGTATTTATTCATGCATGATATGGTGTTTATTCAATTATGATCTAGTAATGATGATGCGTTCGTGATAAGGAATGTGCATGATATTTGTGTTTGACGTAATTCCATAAATCTATTGGATAGATTCTATGGTGATGTGTAATGTATTGATGTAGGAGCTCTAAAATGGGGATGATTTTGACACTCCAATCTTAAGTAGAGAAGGGTAAGTCATGTCGTGGAGAGTAGTTGAAGGTCTTTAGTCTAGTGATTGTTTCTTGGTCATAAATGTTTGACTTATTAACCTTGGTGCTTAGTAATTTGATGTAGGTAGGTTGTTTCACTATACACGGGGTGGGTTCCCCAAGAGTTCAACATCAATACTTGTATCCGAATGGTCAAGTCTAGAAATGATTGTATATCCTAGGATTGATTGATTTATCTGTATTATATTCTTACTTCTATAAAGGTAAAATATGATTGTTTTTTGTTCCTTTTTGTTTGTTTTTGCGTATGTTTCTTCTTGTTTGCAATGATTAAGATGTGAGCAGCTGAAGATGTTCTAGATTATCCAATGCAAAATGAGAGTTGTGATGAAGTATAGAGTAGGAAGTTTAGTTTCAATGTATATTGATTTTTGTAAAACTCTATTACACTTTTAATTTTGGTGTAATGTAACTCTTAATAGTATGTATCTTGTAAATATAATATTATGTTAATATAGTTGAATCTATAAATTTTCATAGTTTATATGTTTCTTTAACTTAACTGTTATCTATATTGAATATGTGATAATTCTTTTGATAGTAGAATGCTATTTTTTTGTTACACTTTTTAACTCAAAAATAACATTTCCAAATGGTGTTGTTTTAACTTGACACAAAATTGTTTTTATCAATTTAAATTTTTATAATCAAGAAAAAAGTTTTAAAACTATGAAAACACCATTTTTCTTAATCATTATTTGATTTGGTAAATGATTGAAATTCTAATGAAAGGTTCTTTAACATTTTTAAACTTAAACTTTTAGAAAAAAATTCTATTACATATTTTCAAAAATATTTTATGTCAATGGAACATATCTTAATTATTTAAGCGCAATAATCCCGCACCTGTGAATAATTGTCTTTACCAAATGCAACGCAAGAAAAATAATTAGATTTTGAGGTTTTATTTTAATAGAATCACAAGTCAAATATCATAATTAATGTCTCCACATGTGGATGTTTAAAAACAATGAATGGAACATCCAAGTTATGGCTGATCAATTGTTTGATAAACACTATAGACTAAATAAATATAATAAAGTTTCTCACATAAATTAAAATTAACGTATGATAAGTTAATTCTTTTAAATGTTTAATTTAAAAAAAATAATTTTAATACATGTATAAATTAATATTAAATACAAATAAATTTATTTTATTTTATTTAAACATCTAAAATTACACAAATGTTAATGAATGCAACATTAAGTTATGCTAGCTAAGTCTTATTTTCAGTCATTAAGATTTTAGTGGAAAGTCTCTTAAAAGTTTTTCATAATTAATTCTAGTGAGAAATTTATCCTCTGTTTCGTTAAAAAAGAGGAAAAAAATAGAGTACACCTTTTGTTTGAAAGTGAAATCAAACAGATAAAAATGTTTGATTTTAAAGAAAAAAAAGTAAAATAATTCTTTTTAAATTTACTAATTTACTCTTAAATTATTCTTACCTCTTTTAATTTAAATTAATTTAACCAATTATCATATAACCCTACTAAATTACGTATAAGAGAAGATCAGATTGATTTCTAAAGTGTTATTTCATCCCAACATCTACACTAATTGCAGATAACATGCAACAGATAACATGCAAAGGATAAAGTAGTTTTTCATCTCTTATTATGAAGATAATGTTTCTTCTCTTCACATATGAAAGAGAAATCTGCTTTTCATGAAACTCACATAAACTATTTTCACTCGAAATCACTTTCTGTTTATTTTAATTTCTTACAGGATTCTAAAAACAGTATTAAACATATCTCATTAAGTGTTTGCTTAAGAATTTATCCAAAGAAGTAGCATTAAGCATAGAAGCTAGTATTCTTTGGAAATCTTTGAACGTTCAATTATAAATTTGCCTTCCTTGAACTTCTGTCTTGCCTCAGAAGCTTGAAGGTATTTCCAACCTAATTCTTCACCACAGTTGCTGCAGAAGATGCCAGCAATGGTGTACACACCAGTTATCATATTTCTCTCTTGCTTTTGCCCAAACACAATGTTCCTTGCATGAGAGAACAGAAATGCTCGCCCTGTTTTTGCCTGAATACCCAAAGGGATGAACCACTAGCTATTCAATTTTTAAATATCGCCAAATACTTAGGTTAAACTTTTCAACCATTCAAACATTATCAGATTTCTTCATAAGCTTTCAGGAAAATAAACGAAGTAAATTCATTCTTGTGTAAATAATCTTATTGTCGGATTATATTACATGTAAGAAATCTACTTTCATCTTTATTTTGCTTCTTTTCTCTCTGGGTGTGGAGTAGCACTGTAGTCTCCACAGACATTTCCTGTTTTTATTACAAAAGAAGTAAGTTTATAAAAAAAGTTTATTTCTTTTTCCTTTTGAAGGTAACCTTTGCTACCCTATTATTTAAAAGAGCCACCCTGAGTGTAAAAGTCGTAACTTTATTTCAAGGATGTTATGAACAAAAGATTAAGCATACATACATGTAGGGTTGTTGTCCTCCATAACCATAAAAGTTTGATTCTTTTTAAGTATAGAATTCAGTCAATAGTTACAAAAGTGAAAAATCTCTTGTATTTTTATCTGAAATCTAAGTTGAATTTTTGTGAAAGAGACTAATTGGTATGCAGAAAGATGAGGAAAAGACGAGAAAGAAAAACAGAACTACTCTGGTTTTGGGAAAGGATAAAAGAAAGAGAAAATGAATAGTTTTGGTGTTTTTTTCATCTACAAACAATCATCTGCATCCAAAGACAGAAACAAAGTGATGAAGAGTTGATTGAAGCAAAAAGTAAAAGATAAAAAACTGAGTTTGATGAACAATATTACCATATAGCTTTTGGAAAGAAGTTCAGCACGATAAGCAATGGGAGTTTGGCAGTTTCTGCAGCTGTAAGTTGCACGTGGATCCATTGAAGTGAATGAAAGGGAAAAAGATGATGAAGTGTGAGTTTTCTTCAACACCAACCAATGGGCTTTATTACTAGAAGAGAGAAGAGGCGTGGATAACATCCTAGTGACGTGGTCAACACAGCGTTTGGACCAAACGATATGAATATCTGAATTCCCTGCAACGCTCCGTAACGCGCTTCACGCACTCAACAAACCATAACGTCTGATGTAATCAACATCACCTTTTTCTTTTTCTTTTTATCTTAACTATATTATTTCCTTGCTTTTTAATAACTTTTATAAGAGACTTGTTTGTTCTTTTATTGCTATTATTACACTTTTATAATATTCATTCTGTAAAGAATCAAATCATGTCATTATTACTGTAAATTTATATATTACATATTCAAAGTTTTTCAAAAATTTTAAATATTTTTTTAAATACAAATGTTTTTCCATTAACGAGGAGGAAATGGGGGAATGAGAGTCTAAAACAAAGAAAGAGGGGGGAGCAGAGTGAAGCAAACGGAAAAGGAGAGAGGTAAGCAGGCAACGCAGGGGGGGTGGGAGTGAGGGCGTGAGGACGAGGCGGACAGGGAGGAGGAGGGGTGAAGAGAAGAAAGGGAGGATCAACAACAAGATTTTTTTGCGTATTCAAAAAGGCACATTCGTATTGACGAAAAACAGCTTTTATCTTTTAAAACATAATATATTTCAATTATGATTCAGCCCAGACTAGAAACCTCCTTTAAACTTTGACGTTTAAACCTCACTTCTTTATATAAGTATGAGAATTTAGCTAGAGTCAGATGACGGGCGACCAAAACAACCGAGACCGACACGTTAGAATAGGGGCAAGGCGCCAGAAAAGCAGAAGCAGAGGGGGTACAAGCCAGCAACAGAGAGCAAGAGAGAGAATGGGCAAAAAGTGAGTTAATTAGTCGTTTATTTAAAAGGGTGGGGATGGGGGGGTGGGGGCGGGGGGGGGGGAGGGGGGGGGGGTGGTTGGGGTGTGGGGGGGAGGGGGGGGGGGGTGGGGTGGGGCGGGTTAGGGTGGGGGGGGGGGGGGGCGGGAGGGGGGGGGGGGGCAGGGGTGTGATCGGGGGGGGTGGGGTGGGGGGGGGGGAGGGGGGTGAGGGGGCGGGGCGGTGAGGAGGGGGGGGGGAGGGGGGGGGAGGGGGGGGGCGGCGGGGCAGATGGGCGGGTGGTGGGTGGGGGGGGGGTGGGGGGGGGTTTGGGGGAGGTGGGGGGGGAGGGGGGCGGGGGGGTTGGGGGGGGGCGCGGGGGGAGGGAGGGTGGGGGGGGGGGGGGGGGGCGGGGGGGGGGGGGGGGGGGGGGGGGGGGGGGGAGGGAAGGTGGGGGGGGGGGGTTGGGGGGGGATGGATGTTGGGGGGGGGGGGGTGCGGTTTGTGGGGGGTTGGCGGGTGGTTTATGTGGGGGTTTAGGACTTCTAAACTATGTTCTTTTGATTATTAAAACCAAAACTAAAATTTTTCTTTTCAAGTTAAAATTATCATCATGATCCTAGCACACGGTGTTGTTGCATCCTATTTTTGTGAAGGGCGACTGTAGGGAGTAGGCTTATAAGCCTGCCATTGATTTTGAGGGCTTCCCTCTTTTGAACATCGTACTAGTTCTTCTACTTAAATTTATTTATGATTGAACAAAGTTCATTTTGTGTTCACACACATATAAAAATAAGATTGGAACGATGTTATTAACACTTTACTGCAATATAAAATTAATTTTGATAATAGAGAAGAAATAAATACGAATGAAGTTAATTAACACTTTACTTAAATAAAATAAATATAAATATAAATAAATGAAAATAAAGTTATGAGTATCTCACTAGATAAATGAAAATAATAACAATAAATAAAATTATAAACATATCACTTACTAAAATGATAATAATAGATAAATAAAAATGAGTTTATAATAAAATGAAAAAAATTATAATAAATATATAAAAATAAAATTATAAACATACACTAATAAAATAATAATAATAATAAATAAATAAAATTGAAGTTATAAAGACTTTACAAATAAAACAAAAATAATAACAATAAATAAATAAAAATGTGGTTATCAACACCTCGTTAATAAAATAATAACAATAGATAAATACAAATAAATTTATAAACACTTCACTGATAAAATAAAAATAAAAATAATAAAAATTAATTTTTCCAAACTAATTTAAAATCTTAATCAACAGAGAAAGAAAAAGAAAATGGAAAAGAGTGTGGAAGAAAGATTGATGGATGCAACTGCCAAAATCCTCTTGACATTGTACAGAAAAACTATATTACTATATTATTATTAAATTATTATTTCAATTTTTTTTCCTATAGACGTTTAATAGTAAAGTCATCATTCACTATTTAAATATTGTAATAGTATTTTATATTTGACAACTTATGGTAATTGAGAGAAGATTGTTGTTTGCTCCAAATAAAAAAAATTATATTTCTCAGTACATAGTGTAAAAGTTTGAGCTTAATTCAACTGTTAATGAATTTATAATCGCATTGTTACTAAAGTAACTCTAAATAGGAAATAGTTAACGTTAGTTTAAAATATGAATTTTTTTTCTCTAACCATATCCTCTAAATAATAATCTTGATGTTCAAAATGAAATATTATGTATTAAGAACTCTGATTATAAATTTCATCCTAAAAACGAAACAAATATTTATCAAGACCCTTCATAATTAGATTAGATAGTATAAGAAGACCTAACTTTTATACTAAAATATGAAAATTATTTCTATTAAGTATAGTCAAACTATTACAATTATATATAAGATATTATTTATATTATAAATATCCAAATGTTACAATTATAAATTATTTTTTATAAGATAGCCAATTATTTATATAATACAGATTCTTTAAATTAAAAAAAGTATATTTTTATTCAAATATTTTTTAAAACTTAAATTTATTTTATATTAAATATTTAATTATTAAATTTAAATATGATTAATAACAAACGTGAAAATAAAGATGTTACATAGATAATATTTAAATGAAAAATTACTAGAAGTGTTTTTTAAAATACAATTATAAAAGAAGTATATTTAAAAGCATTTTTTTATGCATGTTTTAGAAAAACACTAGATAAAAAGTTTATATATGTGATTATGATATATTTTCAATTAAAAAACAAAATATTTATGAATTTTTCTATATATTTATCATTTTATTTATTTATACATATTGTATGGACTTTTA